TTGGGGTGGACATGAATCAGGTGGATGATTTGTGCGGTCGTGCTGAAGAATGCACGAAAAAGGGGGATATCGCTGGTTTTGGAAGGAAGTAGTACATTCAATCTCCACTCATGGCCTTGTACGGAGTCTTGCTCTGCATGTTTGAATTTGCGATGAAACAAGTGCCTTCTTGATATGTAATTTGGTGGCTAAACCTTGTGCTCAAGCGTGAATTGTAGGTCAAAGGCGCGATAGGCTGGCGGCAACGACTGGGGGCGTGGAGCGGCAAAGCCTGGCCAAATTTAAACGTGCGGCCCTGTCCCGGGGAGCAGCAAACAACAGGGAATGATTGGCCCTGGGGCGCCGCTACGAGGTCGACTACGTACCTGGGATTCTGTACCTTTGAACTTTAAACCATGTATTTCACGCAATAACTGGTTTTTCGCTTGGCTGCATACATGCATCTTGCAGCTGAACATGCGATTCCCCTTGATGCTATTTCCCCTCTGAGGAGCCCCCTGAAGAGGCAGGTCTGTTCCTGGCCCCCTGGACAATATTCGTCCGTAGTCGCGATTTGGAGAGGCACCCGCGACTGATGATTGGTTTCTGATGGCATGGATTCACAGCGGCTATTCGATTTTGATACAGATCTTGTTCACCGCGTATGCGGCAATTATGTGCAATGCCTTGGTTCGAGCTAGGACTACCAGTTTGGCTTCTTTGTTTGGGCCGGGGGATGGAGTATATAACTTGCCATTGTCCGCCCGGTAATCTTGGACATGAGGCTCGTCACTCGTCCATTCATTCCTTCATTGACATTCCATTCATTCCATTCCTTTATATTTCTGACCTTTTTCTTTCCTTTCTTTCCCTTCCTTTTGCGTAGATCGCCCAATTCAGCATGAAGTTCGGAGTCTTGGTGCTCGCTTCGGCGGCAAGTGCTCACACGCTCTTTACCACGCTCTATGTCAACGGGAAAAACCAGGGTGACGGGACCTGTGTGCGGATGCCGCACGACAGCTCGACGGCCAACGGGCCGATATACCCCATTACAGGGGAGGACATGTCCTGTGGTAGGTCTGCCCGTGCTGCTTCTGCTTCGCCACGTGGTTGGTCGCTCTTGTTCTGACGCATCGTGTGTGTTTTACAGGGCGTGACGGCAACAAAGCCGTCGCCTATACTTGTCCCGCGCCGCACAATGCCACGCTGACGTTCAAGTTCCGCGAGTGGACTGACGGCACCCGGCCTGGGGTCATTGCGCCGGAGCACAAGGGCCCTTGCTCGGTGTACCTGAAGAAGATGGACGACATGTACGCCGACAACGCTGCCGCCGGGCCGGGCTGGTTCAAGGTGTGGGAGGACGGCTACGACGCCGGCTCGGGCCAGTGGTGCGTGGACAAGCTCATCGAGAAGGAGGGCCTTCTCTCGGTGCGTCTGCCCGAGGGCCTGCCGGCGGGCTACTACCTCGTGCGTCCGGAGATCCTGGCCCTGCACAACGCTCCTCAGGGGGATCCGCAGTTTTATCTCGGCTGCGCGCAGATCTACGTGCAGGAGGGGCCCGACGGCCCTCTGCGCATACCGGATGAGGCCAACGTGTCGATACCGGGACACGTGTCTGCGGACACGCCTGGCCTGACGTACAACATTTACAAAAAGTCGCAGGGCGAGTATCCGATTCCGGGACCGAAAGTGTTTGTCCCAGAGGCCAAGTCGTTTTCGCCCAGTCCGGGCAACCAGACAGAAGGCGCCGTCCCCAAGGACTGCGTCGTCAAGAACGCAAATTGGTGCGCCAAGCCACTGCCGGGCTTTTCGAACGAGGACGGCTGCTGGGCGTCGGTGAAGAACTGTTGGGATCAGGACCAGGCGTGCTGGGACCATATAACTCCCAGCGGCGACGTCGGCTGCAAGACGTGGCAGGAGTATTGTACGCAGCTGGAGACGGAGTGCGGCTCGGGGGACGATGCCAAGGGCCCCGTGGAGTTCAGGGGCAAGGACACGATGCCGGATTTGCCAGGCGAGGCTCTCGGGATGTGGAATGATGTTTTCACGGCGACGGGGTAGATGTGTTGGGAAATTCTCTTCTTGTACACACAATAGTGCAGCTGGCCTGCGTTTCACACGCCAAGGAAGCCGGCTGAACGGCCGCCCATGAGTATGAATGAGTTACGTATGTATGTATGTATGTATTGGCCGTCGAGCTCTGAATGTGTCTCTGGACACGGATTGACGTCGAATGGGGCCATGGACTGATTATCGTAGAGCCATTGTGGGATAGAGCGGGGGGAGGATGTGCATATGGCGGAGTCGAGCCGACCAGAATCGGCACAGCTGGTGCAGGTTCGCACGCCGTCATCTAGAATCCTTCAGCAGTGCCAGCAAGCCAGGCGGCGCATCGGGGCTTCAAACGTTCCACGTTCCATGTTGCAAGCTGGACGTCGATGCATGTGGCAACCTCCAATGCCAGAGCGCAGGCCACGTCCGCAACCCGAGACTGTGTCGGCGCTCTTGCCCCCTCTTGCTCCATGTCTCTTTTTGTAGAACCTCGAATGCCTCTTTGTTCCTCCGTCCCCTCCAAGTGCCGCACATTACGCTGGCATTGAGTATAGATGAATCCACCTCTGCGAGGAAGAACCAGTTGATCGACCCCTGCTTGTCTTTTGTCTATCGAACATTTATTAGTCCCCCCCCATCAATCAATGGAGCCCATCGAGCCCATCGACATGGGCAAGTGACAAGTACCCAGCTGCATAGTACGTCCAAGTACTGTCTAGTGCTGTACCTGCTATCAGGTACTAGGTACCTCTACTTAGTAGGTAGCAGGTAGACCTTGGCTCCTTAGCAGGCAGCACCCAAGCCTAACAAAGTCCCGGCTTGACGTAATCATTACATCCAGGTACCCTATAACAACTCGGACGCCTCGAAACCCGCCCGCCACCCCAAAACCGGTTGAACCACATCACCGCCACTAAACGCCCCTGCCTCGTCTCGGCCTGCTGTTCCCCTTTCCTCCCCCAGCCGAGCATCTCGCAACTCACAACTTTGCATCTCGCCCGCCGCACCACACTCTCTGGCTGGCCATTACAGCCGACAGCCCTCGTCGTCCTCGTCACCCGCGTCACCGCCCCCCCCTGCCGACACTCCGCGAGACGCTTCACCGCTCGTAATCTGTCACCATGGTGAACAATCGCAACTACGACTTCCTGGTACGTCCTCCCAATCCCCATCAACTCTCCGACTCGGCCCGGCGCATTTTGCTGTCTGCCGCCACGACGGACCCTCGGAAGCCAGCACATGTTTGCAATTTCAACCTGGCGCGGCTGAGCAATTGTGGCCATTCTGCATGCCCGTCACATCGACGCGTACTGACCTGCTCCCCGGTGTAGATTAAGCTGTTGCTAATAGGCGACTCCGGCGTCGGAAAGTCCTGCTGCTTGCTGCGCTTCAGCGAGGACTCCTTCACCCCGTCATTCATCACCACCATTGGCATCGATTTCAAGATTCGAACTATTGAGCTCGATGGGAAGCGCGTCAAGCTGCAGATATGGGACACTGCCGGCCAAGAGCGATTCCGCACCATTACCACGGCCTACTACCGCGGTGCCATGGGCATTCTGCTAGTCTACGACGTCACTGACGAGCGATCATTCAACAGTATGGCCCCCCCTTCCCCCTTGTCATGATTCTTTTGCTGGCCCGTCTCTACCTGCAATATTGGGAAAGGGATCCCGAGGGCTCTGGGAGCCTTCTTGAGGAACCGTCCTTGTTCAACAAACCCCAAGCTTCATCAAAACGCCACCGGACACCGCGACGCCTGACCCAAGATGGAAGCTGACAATTCGTTTCTCCAGATATCCGAACCTGGTTCCAAAATGTTGAACAACATGCCACCGAAGGTGTCAACAGGATCTTGATTGGTAACAAGTGCGACTGGGAGGACAAGCGAGTAGTATCAACAGAGCAGGGCCAGGCTTTGGCCGACGAGCTCGGCATCCCGTTTCTCGAGGTCTCGGCGAAGAGCAATATCAACATCGACAAAGCTTTCTACAGTTTGGCCGCCGATATCAAGAAGCGTCTCATCGATAGCTCCAAGAACGACCAAGCGACCGGTACCGGCGTCAACGTTGGTGACAAGACCGATGCAGGTGGCAGCAAGTGTTGCTAGTTGTCCACACATGACAACGAGAGTGTCGGCGTCTTTCCTGCGGGTGTGCAAGCACAGATACAGACACAGACACAAGACGCAAACAGATTTTACTAAACAAACAAACAAACAAACCAGCCCGCTTAGACGAATGTTTTCAAGGCGGAAACGAAAGTCTCTATTTATCGAGCCCCGGATGTCACACGTGTATGGGACAGAGAAGGGGAATATGTTTCTGAGGCGGTTGGGCTATACTAAACGATTTCTAGAACCGTGTCACTGTGTTCCGCCTCTCCCACCAACCGTCTTTCTAGAAGAGTAAATGTGGTTAGGAGTTTTTTTTTTTTTTTTTGTGTATTTTGGTCTGGGTTCTAATGCGAGGCTTTGTCACCCCCGCCGTTGTTTCACGGTGTCGCTTGAAGGGTTGGGGGATCTTGATACCTGTGTCAGGGGAGCTGCCGTGCATGAAGGCGCGAGGAGTAATATCCAAAACAGTGATTGCATGCGATTGTTCCCCAGGTGGACACTCATAATGTTGCGGGCGAGCCGGTGAATACTATAAACAAGAAGGGGGAGGAAGGCGGGCAAAGCATCGGAAGCAAAGTGCGTGGAGGATACAGATGGGGGGGGGGGGGGAAGAAAAAAAAAGGCAAGGGGGGAGAAGACAAGACACGGCAAGGTTGGGGAGGTGGAAAGATTAGTGAATAGTGCGGGCGGCTACCAGTTTATTATTGACGCATGAACTATATTTCTTCTCGTTGCCTGTGTATCCCCTGGTCCGGCCGTGAGGGTTCTTTGATTCCAGTGCCGGTGAAAGCGGCGCGCCTCTGCGTCGTTGGCGCAAACCACGACAAACCGGCTCTTGAGCCTTTCCCGAACATCAATATCCCGCTGCGTGCGTGGCTGCACGTCGGCGCCGGGGGGACTCCCGTGGGATGATGCCCTGCCCGTAGCTCGCTCCGCCGGCTCGGCCTGCAGCTCCTGCGGCGGACACACCTTCCACCCGCAGCCCCTCGACAGGCCGTCCTCGACAATGTGCGCGGCCAGGTCGCCGGCCGTCAGTGTCGGGGGGTACACGTGGACCAGCACCGCCGGCGGCTTCTCCCCGTGGCCGAGGCCCCCCGTGGCCGAGGCCGCCCACGGCGCCGGCCAGCCTCTGCGCCCACTTGTTGCCCCCGGATGCGCGTCGTCTCTGCGCGTCCACGGTCCGCTGCGTCCCGGAGGTTACCGTGTACGTTTCTAATTCCGCGGCCGGGTCCTCGCCCGCGGGTGACGTCAGGTGTCTCGGCGTGGAGCTCTCCCAGAGGCCGCCCGGGGAGCGGATTTTGTAATGGGCGAGTTTGTGCAGGCGGAGGAGGCGGTCGCGGTAGGATATCGCCGCTGTGGAGGTGGAGAATGATATGTGATAGCGGCCGAGGGGCTCGAGGGTCGTGGGATTCCGTTGTTGCTGGACTGGTGTGTTTTTTTCGGGGTCAGAGAGTCGGATGTTTTTGTGGGTGTGTATTTTTGGGGACGATGGGGTGTGTACCTTTTTTGATGACGCTTTGCCAGGAGGAGAGATCGCTGGGCGCGAGGCGGTAGAAGTCGCTGGCGTTGAGGTGAGGGCTCAGGCCGTGGAGGATGAGCATGAGGCGGGAGTCGGGTTTGGGAGATGTGGTGTCGAGGGAGGCGGGTGAGGATGCTGGGTCTGCTGCGGAAGGTGTTTGTGGCTGTCGGTTTTTGAGGCTCTCGATGAGGGACGTGCCGCCGCTGTGGATGGTGTCTTGTTGGTTTGGCGGACTGGCTCGTTTCTTGAGGAGAGGCCATTGGGGATCGGCTTGGGTCGGGGTTGTGGATGAGAGGGTGCGGCTTGGGATGGAGGATGAGGGCGGGAGGGCGGTCGCGGCGCGACGAAGCCCTTGGGGTCGGATCATTGGTGTGGTGTTGAGGGTATTTGTGCCATTGGGGATCGGAGGATTGCGACGATGTGGTCTCGACGCTCGACGACGGTTGAAGCTCAAGAAGGACTGGATGAAGCTCGATGGACGGAACGGACAATGGGGCGCCGGGCATGGGTGGGACCCTTGTTTTTCTGAGGACGTCACTTCCCTTTTTTTTTTATAAAAAAAAAAGCGGCCAGCCAAACCCCACTATGGGTGTTTGTAAGTTGGGCATGTTGCTCGTGACTATTCCACCTTGCTTCCTGGGGATGGCGTTCAACGTAACATGATTGCGGTGCGAGATATAGAACCTGTTCCTGGATTCAATTTCAATGCGACTTGAGAAGCGAAAATAACTTCCTCGACGCTGGCGGCCACGCACCAAAAGAGTGGTTCCAGAATCCCGACGGCACTTGTATGAAATTTCAACGCTTCACTTCACAACCTGCAACCTACCAATTCACAAAACTCGCCAACTCCAGCAAGCGCTCGTTCCCGGCGCAAATCACACAAGTCGAATCCGAACCTGCCCTTCGCCTTCCATGGTGAAAAAAAGCATCGACGCAAAAGTGCGTCCGCTCGCCAACCCGGCCCTCGAAAAGGCGAGCCTCCTCGGCGCCGCCCGCCTCTACGTCAGCAAGGAATCCCTCATCGCGCTCACCAATGGCCTGGAAAACGGCAGGCCATGCGTCGTCGAGAAGCTGGAGGACCAGGCGCAGAGCCCGGTCAGGAGAGAAGCCTCGCTGTGGATTCTGCCCGAGAAGAACCTCAGCCCCAACGTGGTCATGATGACGAGGGCGTTTCAGGACGCGACGGGCTTCAGGATTGGCGACCAGGTGCGCATATCGCTGCTGGAGAGCATGCCGGACGTGGACGAGGTGGTTGTGCAGGACGTGAGTGAGGAGCAGCAGCAGGCCAAGGACGGCCGCGGCGCAAGGCATGCCGCCTGTTGGGAGTTTTCGTTGAGCCTGTCCATGGGTGGGTTTCTTTTCCTTTCTGTTCTTCGTGTGTGTGTGTGTGTGTGTGTTCCTCGTCGTTGAACAAATCTGTCTTGTGTTGGCTGACTGAACTGCGGAATATAGAGCGTGCCGACCTGATTTTCCCGGGCATGGTGTTTGAAGGCGTCAATATCAACAAGCTGCGGCGCACGTTCAAAGTCGTCTCGGTCAACTCGCACACAAACAACGTTGCCAAGTTCAGCATTTCATCATCGACGATCCGCATCCTGGCAGAGGGAGATGACTCCGCCGCTGCAGATGAATCAGAAGCCTTCACGGGCGGTGAGTTGGCCGTCACCGGCGTGCCTGGCCTCGCCTCGCAAATTAGCACCATCAACCGCTTCCTCAAGGGGTTCACTCGGCAGTTCTGGGTCAAGGATGAGCGAGAGTCGTGCGCCTTTGTCATCCACGGCGGACACGGTACGGGCAAGACCTTTATTCTGCAAAAGATTGCCGATACAAGATGGGGGCGGCCGTTCTGGATCAAACCCCCGGACAAGCTGGCCGCCATTCGGGAAACGTTCAAGCAAGCACACACCCTCCAACCGAGCGTGATCCTCATTGACGGCCTAGAAGACCTCATTTGCAAGGACAGATCGAACCGGGACTCAGTCATCGACGTCATAGGCGAAGAACTCGACGCCCTGTCCGCCGAAGCCAGAGCCCGCAACGCCCTCCCTCAGGTCGTTGTCATCGCCACATGTCTGGACTACATGACTGACGTGCCTGCCAAGCTCCAGAAACGCTCCCGTTTCAGAGAGAACATTGCTCTCCCCATCCCCAGAGCCAGCGAACGTCTCGAGATTCTCAACTTCTTCGACCCGCCGGTTCACCCCGCCGAGAAGAGGGCGTGTCTGGACAGCGTGGCGCAAAAGACGCATGCCTACAATGGCGACGATTTAGCAAACCTGGTTCTGAACGCCAAGAAGATTCTCGGCAACAGGCTCGACGAGGAGGGTCTCGATCCCTGTACGGCGGGAGAACAATTCCTCTCCAAGGACGATATGGAGCAGGCATTGAGGATCACGAGGCCCACGGCTATGCACGACATCAATCTGAAGCCGCCAACGATTCATTGGCAGGATGTAGGCGGCCAAGAGAGTCTCAAGAAGGTCCTAAACCGCATGATTAAAAACACCAAGGTTCGTCGCTATCCCCCCCCTCTTTATTACCAAGTCGTCGTCAACTCTCTCCCACACACCACAACTACATCCACTAACAAACCAACCATCTACAGAACACCAACCCCTCAAGCCGACACGTCCTCCGCAACCCTCCAAAGGGCCTCCTCCTCTACGGGCCGCCGGGCTGCTCCAAAACGCTCTCCGCGCAGGCCATGGCCACCGAATCCGGGTTCAACTTCTTCGCCGTCAAGGGCGCCGAGCTGCTCAACATGTACGTGGGCGAGTCGGAGCGCGCCGTCCGCACGCTGTTCGAGCGGGCGCGCGCCGCCTCCCCGTCCATCATCTTCTTCGACGAAATCGACTCCATCGGCGGCCAGCGCGGCCCGGGCTCCTCCCCGTCGTCGGGCGGCTCCCGCTCCACCGGCGCCGTCAACATGCTCACCACGCTGCTCACCGAGATGGACGGCTTCGAGGCGCTGACGGGCGTCCTCGTCCTCGCCGCCACCAACCGCCCCGAGGCGATGGACCCGGCGCTCATGCGGCCCGGCCGCTTCGACCAGGTCCTCTACGTCGGCCCGCCCGACCACGCGGCGCGCGAGGCCGTCTTCGGCGTGCACCTCAGGGGGCTGGCCCTCGCCGACGACGTCGACGTAAGGGAGGCCGCGAGGCTGGCCGACGGCTACTCCGGCGCCGAGATCAAGGCCATTTGCAACGAGGCCGGGCTGGCGGTGCTGGGCCCCCACGACGACGACGAGACGGGTACCGCCAGGCTGGAGATTGGCATGGATGACTTGGTCGCCGCCATGGAGAGGACACCCAGGAATATTACGAGCTTCATGATTAGCGGGTATGAGAATTGGTCAAGACAGTTTAGACGCAAGTAGACAAAAGGGGGGGGGGGGTTTGTGAAGGCAAAAAAAAAAGCTGTGCCTATGACGAAACCTCATCATCAGTCTCACATCTGCGACAACGAGCTACATTTTACGGCTGGCTTTTGCCCCCATGCCACAATTACATACATCTAGGAGCACCCATGGGAATCTGGCCAAATGGCATTTTCACGGTGCAGGTTTATACTTTTAAGCAAGATTTTTCTTCTTCTTTCCGTTTCCATACCACACACATCACCTTGCTTGCAGTAGAACTGTGAGGCATCATCATAGCCAATGACTTGTCCATTGTCCGTCGTTGTCGTCGTCCAGACCGAGGGTACGTATTCATTCATTTCGCCCCCCAGCATGTCCTTTGCGCTACCCGTCGTATCCAGCCCTTCATTATATATGATACATTAGGAGCTGCAGCATATCCGCCAAATGTCCTCGAGCTCCCCCCTGAATGCCCGTCTCCCTAATTTGCGTGATCGCCATTGCAGGTAATTTCACGCCAGCTCTTCCCAAATGTCCGTTCATGTTTATAGCTGAGAAAGGGGAAGGAAGGGAGAAAAAAAAGGGAGAAGAAAAGAAGAACCAAAAATTGAAAACCCCCTGTCCCTCAATTCCAGTCCTTGTCACCAAGCTCCCTCCCCCCGCGTCTAAGTTCTTCGCAAAACTCAATCTAGATCGCTGGTATTCTGCCATTCCCAAAGATCGTCTCTGAGGTAAAATATTGCGACCAACCCCATGATAAGTGTGCACTCATAGGTCGGCTTGATAACGCCGCGTGACCTCTCATTGCCGTTGCCGACCGTTCCCGATACGACCATGCCGGTTTGACTCTCATGCAGGCGAGGAAAAAAAAAAAGACGTCAATCAACCGTCCCGTACGCCGTCGCCGAAAAAGGAAGCAAAAAATGGACAAATAATCCATGTACCAGTTATGACTCCTCATCTGGCCTTGATCCTCCCCCTGTCCTCACTGCCGTCGATAGGCTTATGGCAATCTTGCCATTTCCAGAGCCGCCCCCAAACGGCTTTCGTTTAGGGGTCATCCGCGAACCCGTCGCTAAATTCGACTCGGAAGAACTACTGTTCCGGCGTTTGTTTTGCATAAGCTTCCCTATCTCATCCTCTTCATCCTCTTCACGGCGGCGTTTTTCGGACAATCGTTCAGGCGGTGATGCAACAGCCGGGAGGCTAGGTCTTTCGGTGGCTGCCGACTCCTCTGGGCCACTATTGGCCTTTGTAGCAGTGTCACCTTCCGTGTTGGCATTTTCATCGCTCTCTTCATCCGATGGGTAGTCGACAAGAGGTTTGGAAGGTGTCAGGGGTCCATTGCTGGGCAAGATCTTGTCGCGCACATCTGGGCGGTGCTCCTCATCATCATCTTCAGGGTCTGAGGTGTTCCAGTACTCTTCTTCGCTTGGGTCCACAGTGATATGCTCCATTAACCTCGTATTGGGAGGGGGTTTCCGGGCCATTTCGTCGTTTTCCTCTAGGAAGTAGTCCATATTGGCGGTGTATCCTTGGGTCTGATCGTATCGCTGAATCATGTCCTTGAAAGTCGTCAAGTAGCTCAAACTGGTCATGAGGTCCCTATGGTTCGCAACCAGATATTTTACCAAGTCCTTCAGATTCTCCTTCTTGATGAATTCAAACAGCTCTAGGCATGCCGAGCTTAGCAGATTGTCTCTTGGCAAAGTTTCTGCAAGAACTTCCAGCGCAGGGCCCAAGGCCTGCTTCTCGACGACTTGCTTGATATAGAATTCCTCTTGCATTCCAATGATGTTACGGAAGAACCGTATGGCAACTATGCATGTTAGTACACATTCTATGTCGCCAAATTACCCCATCGACAACAAGCATCTTACCTAGTCGCAAATACTTCTCTGGGTTTTTGAGAAGCTGTGAAACACGCTGAATGATGTTATGATTCATGACGAAATATCTGCTGAATCGATGATGCTGACGGATAAAGAAACATGAAATTTCGACGA